CCGCGGAGTCTACTCATGTGCAGCCTCGATATTTCTCCAAACGGAGTACGCCGGGCTCGGTAGATTTCCAAGTATGCTGGAGATTGGAACAGTACTTCGGCGGCACTCGATGACGTAGTATGCTTGAAATAGTGGCTCTGAAGCAGCTTTACTCGCGATTGAGAAACACCTAGAGTCTGTCATTGCACTTCCTGTTTTATTTTGTACTTACTTTCCCTCTCTTTTCAGAGCCCTTCCTGCCATTTTGTGTTTCCCCCTTTGAGATTGTCAGCCCCTCCCTTAATTGTTGCCACCTGTGTGCCATTAGCCCTTATTCCTCGTCTCCCTTGTTCCTGTGCCGTCTTGTTTCATATGTAGTCCAGAGAGCTGGATTTTGGTGCCAAGAAACTGTGAGTTATTTGAGTCTTAAGTTTTTGCATTTTGCCTTTACCATTTGTTTCCTCTGTAAGGGGAATTCATTGGTGTACTTTGTTTTCTCCTTTAAGTTAGGACCTTTTGGAATTCTGAACTTTGCCTTGAATCGTTGCATTGATCCAGGTATTTGCATCATGTTCCTGAGAAACAGCCTTTCAATACATTCTACCATCATGAAGGTTGTAATGTTTTTAGAAAAGGTGTCTATTTTAAGATATAGTTGGTCCTGACTAAATATTATTTAGTGTTATTTTAACACGATACAACAGCAGCACACACTACATCTTGCATCTAAATGACGGTCGAGTTGAATGAACACCTCTGAAGCAGTTTAAACTAAATCCTAACATCACAACCTTCATGAAGGATGATTTCTTGCAGGGTGTTGTATGACTACATTAGTGAGTTTAATGTCAGAGAATCAGAATCAAGTTAATTGTCAGGTACGTTTACACATACAGGGTAGGGGTGAGCGGATCGATCCCAAAATATCGATACTTCCGATATTACGTTACGTTTCAAAATATCGATACTAGAGCCAATAGGATCGATACTTTTATATATATATTTATATATATATATAGACACCAAAAGAAATTTGGGGAAGCTGGGTTATTGGGAACATGAGAGTACACAGGTACAGACAGGCAGAAGGAAGAAGTAAGGTGTCCCCCGACAGTCTAAGCCTCGAGCAGCTAAACTAACGTGTCTACGTACATGGACTCCCTTAGGATAGGTTGAGGGATAAGGGTAACAAGTAAGAAGTAGGGAACAGAGGTGGAGACTGAGGCACAACGTGTCTACGTACATGCACTCTTATTAGATTCTTTTATCAACTATAAGCTTTATCAAAAAGGAAGGTCTTAAGCGCACTCTTAAAAACGGATAGGGTGTCTGCCGCCCGAACACAAACTGGAAGCTGATTCCACAAAAGTGGAGCTTGATAAGAAAAGGCTCTGGCTCCCATTGTAACCTTAAAAGCTAAAAAACTAAAACACTTAGGACAATGGGTTTGTAGAAAACTACAGTGTATTATATTTTAAAGTGGAGATCTATGCAGACTTGTGCAAAAATGTGCAAAGCATAGTCAGAGAGTTGAGCACGAGCATGGCTCACAGTATTAAGAAAGAACCAGATGTTGTTCACATTATGTACATTAATGTAATGCATCATGTTTGTGGGGTGGATAACATCCAGTGTCAGTGGGGGGACCGGGCCTTGTTCATGAGCCGGTAGCGGAGGGGAAGAAACTGTTCAGGTGGAGAGAGGTTTTGGTCCTGATGGAGCGCAGCCTCCTGCCAGAGGGGAGTGGGGTGAACAGTTTGTGTCCAGGGTGGGAGGGGTCGGCCACTATCTTCCCTGCACGCCTCAGGGTCCTGGAGGCGTGCAGGTCGTGGAGGGATGGCAGATTGCAGCCGATCACCTTCTCTGCAGCCTGCCCTTATCCTTGGCTGTGGCTGCGGCGTACCAGATGGTGATGGAGGAGGTGAGGATGGACTCCATGATGGAGGTGTAGAAGTGCACCATCATCGTTGAGCAGGTTGTTGTCCCCACACCAGGTCACCAGATGATTCATCTCCCACATGTAGGCAGACCCCCCCCCCCCCCAGAGATGAGTCCGATGAGGGTGGTGTCGTCTGAACTTCAGGAGCTTGACAGACTGGTGACTGGAGGTGCAGCTGTTGGTGTACAGGGAGAAGAGCAGAGGGGAAAGAACGCAGCCTTGAGGGGAACCGGTGCTGATGGTCCGGGGGTCAGAGACGTGTTTCCCCAGCCTCACGTGCTGCTTCCTGTCAGAGAGGAAGTCTGTGATCCACCTGCAGGTGGAGTCGGGCACCTGCAGCTGGGAGAGCTTGTCCTGCATCAGAGCCGGGATGATGGTGTTGAAGGCAGAGCTGAATCAGTCCAATCGTTCCAGGGAAGTGGGAAACAAATCTGCTGGAGTGGTTCCTCTGATGTTTAGGAGCGGTTCTCTGGTGAGAGAGCACGGTGTACTCAGTGTAAACACTGATTCAAAGCACAAAACACGACAAAACTGAGCGCACGACAACACCGAAGCAGCCTTCCGCGGCACCATCTTAGTTGTAATGATAATGATGTACCTAAAACACCAACACACTCTCACTCCATAAACGTCCAGGAGCGACGCTTGGTCAGGGTCCCGTGGCGTTCAGTTGTGACGCGCCGAGTCTCCTTCAGCTTCATAAACAGACGCAAAGAGCTTTCAACTGATTGCAATGTATTCCCATCGGCAGCGGTATTTGACGCTCAGGGAAGCACCGCATTCGTTTGTGTCGGAGGCTGTTAAAGGCAATGTGAGCGTCCATTCCCATTGGATAACGGAGGATTTTACACCCGGAAGTAAGTATTCCCCTTACTGTCGATTGATTTGACAGTGATATCTGCACTACTCATCAACTCAAAAACACCAGATTATCCTTGTTAATTACACAACATTGATTGGTTTAAATTGTGTATAATGCTTTTGTGTTTTTCCCCTTCAATTTTGAGAAACAACTTGTTTTCTCTGAAATGTGGAGCGCCAAAGAGACTACACTACCCACAATTCCCAGCTATTGTTGTGACGACGCCTGTCCGCTTTGCGACAAACCTCGTGATAAGTCAAAAGACATTACATTACCCACAATCCTCAGCTACCGTCGTAAAGACGGCATACCTTTGCACTTTACGTGACCAAAACCTGGATGAGGCAGTCGCAGTTCTTCAGAATCAAGGTAAGAGCATGGGTAACATAGTTATAGGAAATACGTTAAACTTAGCCACCAATAATAATAATAATAATCTAATCGGCGCCAATGTTGTTTCTGGCACCTTTCTGAGGGGTATAGTAACTAAATAATATAGGGTATTATCCAAATATAACAGAGACTGTTGGTATGTACTTCATTTGGTCTGGTTAGCCCGAAACACATATTCATACTTGTATCTTTATGTGATACGTACTTCATTTCTAAACTTCATCATTTGCTAGAATTAAGAACACAGTAGTTACAGCTTTCAAAACCACTCCATCCAGTATGTTTTAAAGAAAACTAATCATTGTGCTTTGGACTTTATTGTACCATTTTAACAGAGGGGTTTCTACGAGATCTCCAGCAGTCTCTGAGCGATACTACAGGAGATGAGGTGGTAGCACAAACCCCAAGTGCTTCTCTGCTGGCATCGACCAACTGGAGCACTCGAAAAAGTTTTTTTTCAGAGAGCTGGAGGGCAGCGAGACAACATCTGGTTAACACCGCAGTGGCCCAAGCAAATGTGGGAACACACATTTGCCAACAGTGTTGGAGCAAAACGTCTGTTGTCCGGTGCCGGGATTGCCGACCACATCCCTTCTTCTGTGCTGACTGTGATGTCAGCATGCACACCAGACACCCCCTCCACAACAGAGATGCTACTACTGCAGGTTACTTCCAGCCATTGGCCCCAACAACACATGTACTAAATATGGCCCTTTGCTCCTGTGGTAAGTTCTGGTTTGTGAATGTACATTTTCTTGCTGGACTTGTTGAGAACTTCATTTTGAAAATGTGAGCTTCATCCTAAAGTTAAATCCTAAATCTGTCACATAACAATGATGTATTTCTCAAAAGAGACAAATTATTTTAAATTCCCATTTGAATTTTTTTCCAGTGCGGTTTGTACCTGTGGAGATCCCGGACTAAATCTGTGGTTGTGCATCAGAGTCATTGAGCCTCAAGCCAGGAAAGACTGTGACTGTGATCACAATGAATGGTAAGAATGGGAAGAATGTTTGTCTTGTTTCTTAAGATAGATGTTATTGAAGTTTCTTCTTGATAATATCCAACCCTTCTCAAAGACCCGCACATGTGGGATAGCTTGTTTATTAAACCTTAACATGGGTATTGAGTAAAGAATACCAAATGTATTAAAAACACCTTGTCTGTTTTTCAAGGACGCATGAAGCATGCACTGCGACATGGACGACTGGGGTTGACGACCTTCTTCGGAGTGACTACTGGCCAGCTACCCTTCACTTCGCCACCATTTATGCCACAGATGTTTTCTTCTCATTTGAAGAAATGAAAATGGCTGCACCTGGACTATCCTTTCAGGCATATTTAAGGATGCTCGATCAGCGAACGTTGCGCTTCGGCCGTGTGAGTATTGAAGTTACTTGTCCTTTTTGATCTATTTGTATTGTACGTTGATAAGCTGTGTCCTTATAATTTTTTTTTTACATATAATTATCTGTTGATGTCCTTATTTTGTTATAGACTGGGAAGATCTCAACTGACAGCTTCATCAAAAGTTTATTTGAGTGGGAGGCTCTGCGTTATGAGGTGGACATCATGTGCAAGCCCTGACATGAAGCCCTTTCTCTCAGTGTTTCATGCCAAAGCGCATGACGTCAAATGTGAAGTAAGGAATTGTTACCATGTGACACAATCACTTTATGTAAAAACCTCCTTGTGAATAGTGACAAGTTGTAACAAGTAGTATTTTTTAATATATTTTAAACAGGTGAAATGGAGTGGGGCATATCAAGAGGGGGCTGGACTAACCCTAGGGGAGGAGGTGGAAGAGGTCAATGCCTTCCTCTCTCAGATAGCAGTGACCACAAAACACATGTCAAAAGCAGGTGAGTTACGATAGAACCTTTACTGTCAGTTTTCAAAAGAAATTCAGAAATGCACAGATTACACTAACAAATTACACCAACAACACAAACTCATAAAAGCTCATTGACCATAGACCACCATTTAGGATGGCAATATAGTATAAACCCCAGTTACAGTATAAGAAGTAAGAGGAATAGTAATAATGTGATATTCTCTTTTGCAGGACGTACAGACATGCTGACGCTGATGGCCATGCGCTGGAATCAGCAAAAAGTCAGCAACTTGGCCACCTCACTGTCCCGCAGATATCTGAAGGTAATAACATAGTTTTATGTTAGAATGACATATTCTTAGTTAGAATAATGACATATTCTTAGTTAGAATTATTTGTGGCTGCAGCCTAAATGTAGATTTCTGTATTTACTTGTATTTAATTGTTTGACGTTTGTAGACCACAAAAGCTCTGGAAAAGCAATTGCAGAACCTGGAGTCCATGAAGGCTGAGTTGACTGAAAAGCAGCTGGAAGACTGGATCAGATCCACTTTGTTGTAGTCATGATTTATCAATTTATTTTAAATGTTCAGAATTAGTGATAACCCTCTATTGACATTTGCATTACTTATTTTTCATGAAGCATTAATGATGATGCAGATACTTATTATGAAATATGTAATAAAATAATATTAAAACATTTTATCAAATGTCACTGTTATTGTGAATTACTGTGCTTAATGCACCTATTTCCTCTAAAAAGCAACAACAAACAACCCAAGGGATGCTGCTGCCTTGGCCAGCAAGATCGAAATGCTGACAGTAACGGCCCGTCCACACAGCGGCGTGCGTTGAAGCTTGCCGGCGGGCGTGTCTGAAACTCGACCAACAACCAATCACATGAATCTCCCGCCCCTGACACACAAGCAGCGGTTTAATTGGCTAGAGCTTGTACTGGCATATGATTGGATTGGCTGACGCTTCTGCCGAGGCTTCAAAAGTTGAACATTGCTCAACTTTTGCAGCGAGCCACACCAGCAAAGCTCCGCTTCGCTTCCCACAATGCAGTTCGGCGAAAAGTGACGTCACCCCATTCAAAGTGAATGGTGAAGCTTTCAACGCACGCCGCTGTGTGGACGGGCCGTAAGTGTCAAGAGACGTTCGCAGCGTCTCTACAAAGACACAGACAGCAATAAAGGTCGTTCCCGGATCCGCCGCAAGATCAGGGATGAGAAAGGGGTCCTGACAGCCACAGCTGAGAAATACAACTCAATGGTTCCAAGCACAGAAGCGCTGTGCCTCGAAGCCATTCTGTCTGTGGAGAAAGCTTGGCCATGGCAGCTACCAAACAATGGTAAGTACACCAGTCTGCTGAATGCTCACAGCAAATGTGGAAAACCTTCATGTCTGATATATAAATCTATTTAAGACTTCATAGATTCTTTGAATGTTGATCTTTCATACACATTCATTCATGTTTTCTCATAAATGCTTTCCAGACTCTTTCGACCTCAGGACAAAGAGAAGAGCATTCGACCTTGTCATGGCAGTGAAGAGACTACAGGAGGAGAAGAAGATTCTCGTCACAGAAATGAACCAACACTGGAAGGTCCTTTCAACCCGCAGTGATTCCCTGAAAGAGATGTCCTGCCTGCAAAGTACAGTATATATTACATTTTTACCTCGCATGACTTTACACATCAGTGATAGGTGATGAAGTAACTCATATTGTCTTTATCTTATACATTTAAGATTCACCATTGGGCCTGAGCGAAGACGGGATGAAAGGTCTCCAGAGCATGTTTAGGAAAAAGCAGCACGACATCGGAGAAATGAAGACTCATGCTAGACGATGCTATCTGCAGCTTTTGACTGGAGCAGAGACCATCAGCTTCTTGCAAAGTCTTTCAGATGAGTCTTTCAGATGAGTCTTCTGACTGCGACTCTGACAGCTCTGATGACACACGGTGAAGCCCCCTCCAGACTACCTTCTATTTAACATCTACATGCTCCCCCTCTGTGAAATAATCCGCCAACATGGTCTCAACTTCCACTCCTATGCCGACGACACCCAACTCTACATCAGTACCAATCCATCATCCCAGCTACCCCCACTGTCACTAGTCAACTGCCTCCGCAACATCCAAACCTGGATGTCAACAAACCTACTGAAACTCAACAAAAACAAAACAGAGCTCATGGTTGTGGCCCCAAAAACACTGCTCCGGGAGGTTGGAGATCTGCTCCTCACCGTCGATGGCTGCTCCATCCAGCCTGGGCGTCACTCTGGACTCTAGCCTCACCTTCAACTCCCACATCAGGTCTACTGTCAAAACTGCTTTTTTTCACCTTCGAAACATCTCCAGACTCCGGCCCTCTCTCCCCGACCCCGTTGCAGAAACATTATTACATACCTTCATCTCCTCATGCCTGGACTACTGCAATGGAGTTCTGTTCGGGGTCACCAGCAAAGCCCTGGACAGGCTCCAGTGCGTCCAGAACTCTGCAGCCAGGCTCCTCACCCGCACCAAGCCCTGGCAACACATCACCCCCATCCTCCTCCACCTTCACTGGCTCCCGGTCAAGTCACGCATCCAGTACAAACTCCTCCTGCTAACCTACACATCTCTCCACTCCCTAGCCCCTGCATACATCTCTGACCTCCTTCAGCCCTACACCCCCTCTCGTCAGCTGCGGTCCTACGGGAAAAAAAAAATGACACATTTCTTAATGTCTTAATATGTATGTCCAGTAAGTTATTCTTCAGGTTGTTGATATGTTGTTGAAGGCATTTTCTATCATTTCATTTTATTCAGATGTTATTACATGTCTACTCTGAAACACTATGTAAACAAGGTCCCATAACAATAAAGTTGATACAAATTGTTTTGACTGTTCACTCATGTTCTGTTTGTATCTCTGTTTAGCAAACACACATACTGATTAGCACCACGAGGGGGCGGATAAACCTTTTTGTCTGATGTTTTACAAATCATATATTCATATGTGAAGAACTAAAATATGTGCAATAATATAGCTATATCCTGTACAATTATCTGATAACATGAATAAAACATCTTCAGGTGTTATATATACATATCTGTCCTACACTAATAATAAAACAGATAAAATGGCATTGTATTCTGTGTACCTCATTTGTTTGATCCTCATAAATGACCTTTCAAACACCTCATCAGTTGCCTGTTTTTGACTTAGCCTACAAAATTAGCCAACACCTGGTACAATGCATAAGCCTCATATAGTCCATATTTAGCTTGATAATGGTAGTTAGATATGTAAATTAACATAATGTATTTTTGATAGCATTGTATACCATGTGTACTTTATACGTCTGTATTATTCACCTAGTGGTTAAAGCACGTTATTACACGTTTAGAGTCATTGCAATGCAGGTAAGGTTGTGTTGCTAATCTCTGCTGCATGTTTTGTTGAATGTGTTATATTTGATGAAAACATTTAAATATTAAGAGTACATACAAAATAGGGGGAAAGTAGAAGGTCAATGATAGAAATATAGAATAGAAAATATCAAGAAGATAGGCTACTGTAAGTGATCTCTACAATAAAAGTTTAGTGCCGGATGTACACAGATATTAATAGGAGGATGTGCAAATCAGACAAACTAATTAGGCTTTATTTAAACATTAAATAATACTTTAAGTTAAGGTCTTCTTTTAAATACATGTAAGCAAAAAGCTTTGGTAAATCTACAGATAAATATTAGGCCTGACAAAGTACTTAAAGTCTAATATATTGCATCATTTGTTTTGGGACTTGACAATCAACTTTCCTGCAATGTTAACTATGTTGAAGCACTTATTTTAACTGATATTACATATTAATTATACTCTTATAAGATGTATGTAGATAGTATAAGAAATGTGCAGAATATGTTTAATGGTGGAGGTACACACACATATCGATAGATGTCTTGTAATGCACTGTTGAGGAACCTGTGACCCAAGTTTTTCATTCATTGCATAACTGTGTGTATATGATATGTCAATAAACCTTAGAAAATCTTGAAATCTTGAAAGGGATGTGCAAAATAACCATTATATACAGTTTTTGATTAACTATTAGTAGAGAATAATGAGTAATGAATATACTTTATAGGGATCTGCAGATAAATGTTTAGTCTTGTACGAGTTACCAATGTAATGGTCTGTAGACGGTACCAATAATGTTCTGTTAAGTTTTTATGTTATTTAACAAGAAAAACAAAAAGGAAGAAATTAGAACATACTTACATTTAAAACTCTTCTGTCCACAATGCTTTGACACAGGAACACCTTCTGGGTCCTGTGTTTCCTGCATTCTAAAAATAAATAACACCATTTTAATAATTAAGTAATACGTCTTCCAAACAATCATTTAAAAAGATGTATTTAGTATAGTGCAAATCGAACCTCTTCGACTTTTATTGGAAGGGGGAGGCTGGGACGAGAGGGAGGATGTAGGAGGTGTATGAGAAGAGATGGGGGAGGGAGGAGGCTGGGAGGAGAGGGAGCATGGAGGAGAAGAGAAGGGGGGGAGGAGGAGGCTGGGAGGAGAGGGAGAAGGAGGAGGGTGGAGGAGAAGAGAAGGGGGAGGGAGGAGGCTGGGAGGAGAGGGAGGAAGGAGGAGAGAGAAGGGAGGGAGGAGGCTGGGAGGAGAGGGAGGAAGGGAGAAGAGATGGGGGAGGGAGGAGGCTGGGAGGAGAGGGAGCATGGAGGAAAAGAGAAGGGGGAGGGAGGAGGCTGGGAGGAGAGGGAGCATGGAGGAGAAGAGAAGGGGGAGGGAGGAGGCTGGGAGGAGAGGGAGCATGGAGGAGGTGGAGGAGAAGAGAAGGGGGAGGGAGGAGGCTGGGAGGAGAGGGAGGAAGGAGGAGAAGAGAAGGGGGAGGGAGGAGGCGGGGAGGAGGGAGGGAGGAAGGAGAAGAGATGGGGAGGGAGGAGGCTGGGAGGAGAGGGAGGCATGGAGGAGAAGAGAAGGGGGAGGGAGGAGGCTGGGAGGAGAGGAGCATGGAGGAGAAGAGAAGGGGGAGGGAGGAGGCTGGGAGGAGAGGGAGGAAGGAGGAGAAGAGAAGGGGGAGGGAGGAGGCTGGGACGAGAGGGAGGATGTAGGAGGTGTATGAGAAGAGATGGGGGAGGGAGGAGGCTGGGAGGAGAGGGAGGAAGGAGGAGAAGAGAAGGGGAGGGAGGAGGCTGGGAGGAGAGGGAGCATGGAGGAGAAGAGAAGGGGGAGGGAGGAGGCTGGGAGGAGAGGGAGCATGGAGGAGAAGAGAAGGGGGAGGGAGGAGGCTGGGAGGAGAGGGAGCATGGAGGAGAAGAGAAGGGGGAGGGAGGAGGCTGGGAGGAGAGGGAGGAAGGAGGAGAAGAGAAGGGGGAGGGAGGAGGCTGGGAGGAGAGGGAGGGAGGAAGGAGGAGGAGAAGAGAAGAGAAGGGGGAGGGAGGAGGCTGGGAGGAGAGGGAGGAAGGAGGAGAAGAGATGGGGGAGGGAGGAGGCTGGGAGGAGA